CCATGAAATCCAATTGAAAACTATATCACGTCATTTCAGCTACATTGCCCAAGCAATCCATTTGACATGTCTACACATTACAACATGGGAGTCAGATTTTTTAGGTACATGAACATCCATTAATGAAGAGAAAATAGAAAAGTTTAGATACCATATACAGATTACATTTTTTTTGCAAGTTAGCTCACAATATAAAAGACTTTCAAAATGAGTACCATAGCAGATGGCCAAATGCTTAGAGGCCTAAACCATGAGAGAGAGAGAAAGAGAGAGTCTTCACCATGACATCCACAATTATTTTCAACAAAAATAGAATAAAAAAGAAAAGAATATGCAGCTCTCCTAATTTAACAATGCTTAATAACATAAAATATCACACCTACAATTACAAGGCGAAAAAAGAGAAGACATAAACCACAGGAAAAGCAAGTGCGGTGTAGGTGATTTTGTTTATCCTTCCTATTTTGGCGGATGCTTTTACTAGACCAGTGCATGTAGTACTCTCCAACTAATACATCTCTAAACAATTCTTCATTCGTTTATCCTTTTGCCTTTTCTCTCCCCTGAAAATAGCCAAGAAAGGGTACTGAATAGGACACTGCAGATACACCATAAAAGGACTTTGATTAAGGTTGCAGAAAAGAGAGAGGCAAAATATGAACATGACATGTTTCTAGCATACAATGCTCATGAAGAATATCATTTTCAAATAAAGATAATTTGAAAGACAAGGAAACAACACAAATGTTGTGGTATATCAAAATGTAGCGAACGAAAATACTCTTCATAAGGAGGTATATGAAGTTGGACAGCTAACAAAGTAGCTACAAGAGTCTTGATAGTATAGATACTTACAACAGAATCAAGGATAACTTGAGTGTCAAATATATCTAGGAAAAGCGGTTTTGAAAAAAAAAAAAAGCATCTTGGAAATTACAGGCCACATAGCTAATCACTGCATAGATTTTGGCTTCCATCCACCGATAAAGAAAATACATAAACTAATTATTTTAATGCTCGTCTACCAGAAATGAGAGCCTCAAAATATTCAAGGAATTCTAGCCATTTTGCTAACAGATAAAATGCATTTTTTTACTTCCAAACTATGCTAGAGGTTTTGCTTTGCTTTTTTTTTTGTTTCCGTGATTATTCCTAGAAGTAAAATCAACATTTCTTTACAAAACCTAAGATTTACTTCCAGAAATTAATACTATTTCGAAATCCATTCCCATTTTCATGAACAACAGGCAAATGATAGAGTCAAGTGTCGACATTATGCAAGTTCCACAAGGAAAGCAAAGACTTCTTTTTTTCTTTATTTACTCTTTTGAATTACTTATAAAAAGTGTAAAACCAGAACTCTTATATAGTTAATTAATAAAGACCAAGGTTACAAGATTTGTTTGGGAAGCCCCCTCTTTGGTGAGGCTATCCCCGATAGCATTGGTTTCATGCCATGCGTAAAAAAATTCAAACACTAGGTTACTCTCCAGGCGCAAATAAAAATCCTACTAGCCCAATTGATTCCTAGTTTTGTTTTGTACATGATACATTTGTATGTCAGTGAGGTGTATTCCCCCACGTTGGATGTGGTCCACCATGAGAGCCTTTTTGCTAACCAATAACCAATCGAGAACTTATGTTTTGGGCCAAGCTGGGGAGAGCCATACCTCGCTGGCAATGGCAGGGAAGATCACTTGGCCAAAGCTGCTCATAGAAAGATGTTCTACCAAAAAGAACCCTGATTTAACTGTCTTCTACACCATCTTGTCCCTGACATGGTGAGGACGGAAATTTGGATTTAGGGGTTAAAGCAGGATTATCAGGTCTTGGATTTCATCATTGGACAGTTCCATTCTAAACCTCAGATCAAACAACATGCCTAAAGGGAACTTTGTTTGCAGCCGAGACATGACAACCTTGGTCAGCTGCCACTGGGAAGATGATAGAAATCTTAAGGCAAAGTAAATACATTTAGTAAGAATATAATGGTTTCTCTCAGTCTCTAGATTCAACTCATCTTGGAACAGTAGAAACTATAATATTCATCTTGAAAAGTTTAGGCAGTATGCTATGATACAACTTGTATCCATTCAAAGCACAAAAGAACTCATCAAAAGACAACATACCTGATTGTCTCTGTGAAATGATGGAATATCATATACAAAGGTGAAAGAATTTCTTTTGCAATGAGCTCCAACTGCTGAGGCATGGCTCCCTTTTAAGATGTGGTTTCATGAAGTACTGCAATCATCCATAATCCATTAGCTATGGTCCCTTATCTTTCATAGCAATCTGTTGAAAGGCTTCATCATCAAGTTAAGAGGATTGTCGAGTTTTTATACTATAGCCAAGTAAGTAATGGCAGAATGCTTTTTCCATGGGTTGCATTGGTCCACCCTCAAATTGCTCTTGCATGTTGAAAGTTCATTAAACAATAGTGTTGCAATAGTGTTAGAGGGCCCAGTACTCAGGGGATCTTGCAGAGGCCTTGAGTTCCATACATAATCACTATTAAACTAATGAGGGCTATTTTCAATGGGAGCTCATTTGGTTTTCTTAACACATTTAACAAGATAAGCAAACAATATTTAGTATTACATGTATATATGTATTTATTGAATACTGTCAGTTTACATCCCCCTTGCGCATCTAATGTCCAACTTAACTATTGCAGTTGATGATTTGGACTTGAATAATGTGTTGACTTTTAGGGGGTGTTTCTTACCTGGAAATTGGGAAACATTTATGTGGTCTTGCCACAGGTTGGGAAATTCAGTTTGTCACCCAATAATTAACTAGGGAATGCATGTGAAGATAACTTTGTCAGCATTACTGGCTTCGGTAATTCACTGCATTCTTTATTTCATATTTAAATTGTGCTTACAGACTTTACCTTAAGGTGCTTCCTCACTCAGCAACATAATGGACTTGGAGACAATTGCAGCTTGAGAGGTGTTGCCTTTGCAACATGCTGTCATCATCTTTGCCAATGGAAATCTTATATGAGTAATCCCCTATTCTTTAGTATACAAATACCTTTCATCCTTTATAATCTAGTTCTTGTATCTGTTGTATATATCCTGTGAAAGAGACACACGTAGAGAATTAGCATTCTATGAAATCATAGGATCATTGCTCACACAAGCACATGCATGGACATGTAATATGGAAATATCTGAATGTTCATTTAGAGCACTATTAAATTATACATAATATATTGCACACAGTTCACAGTTAATGTGAAATATGCATAGTTCATAGTTCATGTTAAATGATCCAGAATTTTAAGTTCCCTGTAGGAATGAATTGCTTCATTTCATGGCTGGATTTCCCTTCTTCGTTTTAATTTTGTTTATAGATTCATTTATTTCTTGCGTTATTTTGTGAAGATAGTTCATTTAGGAACCCTGTTCTTTCGGGCAATTGGCTGGAATATATAAGAAAAGGGATATGTGTTTTGGGAGTCAATCTTCGTCCAGCAGCTAGCTGTATGCATTTGCTTTCAGAGAAATTAGTGACCATCAAATAAGAGTCATGAGCAGTTTTTGAAAGAAGCTTCTTCAAAGTGTTACTTTCTTCATTGTTCTGATATAGATGTAGGATTTCTATACAATATGGGGATATCCAAAGAAGGTTTCCATGCAATTACATGGTTCACCAGCCGGGCAGTAGATGTAGACGGCCCATTTGATTTCGCAGAAGCAATTGATGAGAGTTAACTTGTAAAAACATGGTAATATATTACTCTTTCTTCGTGAAAATGAGTTTAAATTTCCAATTTGTTGCTTTATATTATCGAAAAAATCTTGGTTGCCACTTGTATTTTTAGAAAATGACTAGGTGCCCTGCTTTCTTAGGATGGGCTTGAAGCAACTAAATATCCTGTGCGGGCATAGTTCCTGATTTGAAAACTAGTTGTTGCATGGTTTTTGAAATACAACAGTCACAATTTTCTGTTAGAGCAGGATACCTAATACTAGCATTGCTACACTCCTAGATTTTCTATCTTGTTTTGCATAATTCAAATAATGGCACTTGACTAACATGTTAACTGTGGATTCTGAAGTGTTGCTTCTCTCTGTTTCATGAAGCGGCTATAGTTCTTATTTTAAGCGATGAGATCTTCACAAAACCATTTGTAAGATGCCCAATATAGATCTATGCTTTCTTCCAAATAAATTACTTTCCCTCAACAAATATTTCTGTTTCTTCAATGTGCTCTTCAATTTGTTTTAAGAAATAAGAAAGCT